ATTGGGTATTATAAGTTATTTAGATATGGTTTGAAATATACAGCCAAATTCTTCTTCATTGGGGCTACACCACTTTATCCTGTTACCAGCAATATCACCTTGAGAGTACTATTTTCCATAGCCCTGCCCATGGCATCCTGTCAATCTCAAGAATTTTTGCCAATTGTTCATCTAGGGAGAAGCACTGTTCATTTTATTTTATTTTATTTTTTTAAAGAGAGAGTGAGAGAGGAGAGAGAGAGAGAGAGAGAGAGAGAGAATTTTTTTTTTAATATTTATTTTTTAGTTCTCGGCGGACACAACATCTTTGTTGGTATGTGGCGCTGAGGATCGAACCCGGGCTGCACGCATGCCAGGCGAGCGCGCTACCGCTGAGCCACATCTCCAGCCCAGCACTGTTCATTTTAATCCAGGGCTGTTGAGCTGGTTCATCACTGGGAATTTCCATGGGGGAGATMAGAAAAAGCCAAGAGCAATCTAATGCCTTCATGAAGTGTTAAGGGATGTTTGCAAAATGGGCTTCTCCCTCCTTCTCCTAAGCAGCCCACAATACCTTAAGTCTGGCAATGGAGGGAAGAATTGGCAGCTCATACTTGAATCTCTTCATTCTGCCTCTGTCAGAAGTGAATGTGTGTCACTAACAGGGTCTCTGCTGATTCCAATATACTTCAGTGCAAATTAGAGAAAGGTTCCCTTCCTTCCTGTACCAGGGCTTGTGGTTTATAGGGCAGAAGCCAGAGTTCCTGCCCTCTTGGCTGGCATCCCTGTGCAGTGCCCAGCCTGAACAACCATGTGTGGCAGCTCAGATGCTGATGTTCCATAGATTAACCTCTCAGAGGAGATAAGAATTTGTCCCCCACAAGACTTCCTCATGGGAAAGGAAAAAAGAACACATTAAAAAATATTTGCCTATACGCACAAGGACCTTTTCAAGTAAGAAGCACATTCAGGCAAGTAATGTCTGAATCCTCACATCAGCACCGCAAGGCCCTGAGGGAGGGTTGGTTTCAACATCCTTCTCTCCTGAGGGAGAGAGAAGCCCAGACAGGCGAAGCAATGTGCCTAAACTCACGTAGGCAGAGCAGACACCAGAAGTCCCAGGTTTCATGCCTGGGAGACATTCCTTCTTTTAAGTGTGATTTTCAAATCTCTSTCTCTGCTCGTCTGCACTCTGCCTGTGTATACACACGCCTCCACCCACTCTCCTACTCTCCTTCCTTTACAATAGAATTTTGCCTTTTAATTTTAAGAATTTTTTTTTATAATACCTTTATTTTATTTATTTATTTTTATGTGGTGCTGAGGATTGAACCCAGGGCCTCACACATGCTAGGCAAGCACTCTACCACTGAACTACAGCCCCAGCCCAGATTTTATTTTATTTTTTCCCTCAAGAAAAAAAGAGTTCCTATGAAATCCCAATATACAGAACAAAGCTGTCCCAGTTGCCTGAAGTTGTGGGGAGGGAGTACAAACCCCACCTCTTYGGTTCCCTCTCCCTCTCTGCAGCAGCCTGAGAAATGTGAAAATGTGCTCTATTTTCAGGCTGTGGTCTTAGGATTCAAAAATCACATGGATTTTTTTTCCTCCATATTACCTGTTAGCTCCCACTGCTAAGTATGATTAACAGTGACTTTAAATACACATGCAAACACATACATTGGTGTATACACACACCATTAGTTCTGRCCCTTCTTCCCAGAAGGCTCTTGGTCCAGGGCGTAGGCCACCTGGAGTGAGCCAGGAAGAGGAAATAACACTAGTCTGAGGGAAGATGGGAGAATATCCCTGGGATTGCCCAGGTAAGAAGCCAGACCCAGGGCACTTAATGGCGAGTATCAAGAAACAGAAAAGAATAAGTGAGAAATTGGGGCACTGGGCAGTCCAGAAAAGCCAACAATAAATTTTTCTAAAAAAGACATACCAGGGACTATTCTTTTAGAAGCTATGCCTCATTGTGGCCTCAGGTGGAACAGAGAACAAGGCTGGCAAGAGAATGAGATTCATTTTGGAATCCTGGGGAAAGGGAAAGGGGCCAATTGTGTACRTGAGGCAAAGAGAAAAGAGAAAATATTTTTTGCAGCTGAGATGTGGGTCAGGTGATCTCTGCCCAGCTGGGCTCTGCCTGAGGGGATCCAAGGCTTGTTAGGAGCAGAAAATTCTTTTCAATTACACATCACCCCTACAGAAGCACCCAAGCAAGTGACAGGAGGTGCTGACCTTAGACAATCACATTGGAGAAGGGAAGAAAGCAGCCCTGTGGGGCTGGGGAGAGGCTAGGGCTGTCTGTTTCAACAAGGTTACCTACAGGGTATGGAGAAGCAGGAAAATGCAAGGGTGAGGCGCCTGCCAGCTGGAGGCAAGGGGCAGGGAGTTCACACAAGAGATCTGGGGCAGAGCAATAAGGAATTCTGGGTAATGAGATGGGCCCAGGAGCAGAGGACCAGTCAGACAGAGTTCCAGACCATAGTTTTGTTCATTTACCATGAACCCAGGAGAGCAGGGGTGCTAAGGAGTTTGGGGAAATGAAGAGACAGAACTCTAGATTGGGCCACCATGTGACATTGAGAGATGTAGGGCAATGATGAACAATAGATGCTTCTTGCTTCTCGGCCTTTGCCTTGGCTTGGAAAGCCCTTGCTTCCCCTGGCTCCTTCTCCTTAAGCCTCAGCTTAGRCTTTTCCTCCAAGAGAAGCCTTCCTTGGCTTTGCTATTCCTCTTCTGTTCATCCAAATCAGGCAAGGGGCTCTTATGCTGCCTAGTGTTTACCCCAGCAACGCACCGATCGTGCTGTTTGTTAAACTGGCTCCCCCTCTAGTAGTACCCATTGGTTCGTATTGCATTTCCTGGCTTTAGTCTGTTACCTCACACAGTGGAGGGCTCAGTGCATGTCGAGTGCCTGAATAAATGCCCTAGAGAGCCTGGGACAGGATGGTTCTGGGCTCTCTGTCCTATGCACCCATGATCCTGGTGTGGACTCCAGAGCTAAAGGTCCCCTGGCCCCTCAGAGGCCACTGGGCACTACTTCAGCCAAATCACATTCTTGACACCTGGTTCCAAGCCAGAGCGCATAGGGCTGCAAAAGTCCTGTGTGTGGGGTTGGCAGGGTGTGAAGTTGCAGGATGCTTCCTCCACTCCAGCTAGACAATCTTAGCATGCAGTTGAGAGGACTGGGATGCAGGGAGGTTGCTTGAGAGGCAGCTCCTTCAGGGAAAGTGAGGCAACAGAGACAATTCTGTAGGTGGGACCTCAGGGAGAGGCCTGCTTCAAGCATAATAATAGAGGTAAACCATTCACCTCCCAAGGCTGTCAGAGGCTTACATGAAAGAATGGGTGAGAATGTGCTCTTTCGTCCATTGGGATGTGATGTGTTGCTAGGAAATGGATTGGGGATCAGGGTCCTCAGACCAAAATCAGTATCAGAACCATTCAGAGAATAAGGCAGTAAATCAGCATTGAGATGAGACAGATTATGGAAATAGACTTTGGGTCTCTCTAAAATGTTAGAAAACTGGAGACAGAGACACTGTCTGGGATACCTGTGTATTAATTCTTCTGGGGAACTCCTCATCCTCCCTGGCAATGAAGATTTGAACTTGCTAGTCTTCCTGTTCCACCAAAACAGCAAGACAAGTACAGCATAGCCAAAGGCATAAGTAAGTCCTTCCTTTCTGTGGACAATATCTCTAATCACCTGCCTCACCAGGGATTCTGAGGCCAATGGAGGATATACCCACCCCCAAAAAATACCCCCCCCAAAAAATCACAGGTATCCTGTCTTGGTGTCCACATCATTTCTTCCTTCCTTCCTTCCTTCCTTCCCTCCCTCGCTCCCTCCCTTCCTTCCTTCCTTTTCTCTCCCTCTCTCCATCCCCCCTCCTTCCTTCCTTTCTTTCCTTCTTTCTATTTCTTTCTTTCTTTTTTGTATGTGTGTTTTTAGTTTTTGGTTTTTGATACTAGGGATTGAACACTACATTGCTTTACCACTGAACCACATCCTCAGCTCCTTTTATTTTTTATTTTGAAACCCGTTCTCACTAGGATGCTGAGGCTGGCCTTGACCCTGTGATCCTCCTGCCTTAGCTTCCTGAATCACTGAAATTATAGGCATGTAATGGCACACCTCTAATAAGCATTTATATCCTTGGYGAATCAAAGTGGCAAGTAAGTTGGGGGGTGAAGGAAGAGTGGTCTCTTCCTCTCAAAGCACAGCTTGCCAAAAACACTATAAAAATGAAGAATTGGACTATTCTAAAAGTCACTCAGTGTTATCTATGTTCTTTCAACTTTTCTAAAACAAAGCTTCCTTTACAGAGTTAAAAGGCTCTTTTTTCAAAGAGAAAGTCAGCCACAAGCAGTTGTACAGGATGAGCAACCCTCATCCAAAATTCGTGGGACCAAAAGTGTTTCAGATTTCCAGATTTGGGAATATTTGCATGTTTATAATGACATATCTTGGGGATGGGACCTAAGCCTAAACATGAAATCTGTGTTTCATATATACCTTAGACACATAGTCTGTGGGTCCTAGGCAGTCACTGTTACCACATCCAGCCACATTACAGACTTTTATTTTGAGTGTAACTGCACATTGGCTGTGAACCAGCACATGCACTYAGGTATGAAAATTTTCATTTGTGTGTCATAGTTAGTGTTCAAAAAGTTTTGAATCCTGGAGCATTTTGAAATTTGAATTTTCAGAACAGGGATGCTCTACCTTTAATAGTACATAAGTACTTAAGAGTTAGTTGTTGGAGGGAAACAAACAGATCTTGGCATTTGCCAGTTTCTGTGATGTGGTGCAAACACTCCAGCCAGGGCTGATTTCTAGCTACCAGGGAGAAACCCCTGAATGCAAAATTTGGAAGAGCTGTACATGAACAGCTCACACAAGCCAGTGCAATCCCAGGAATCCTTCAGGCTGCCAGTTCTAAAACATATGTCAATACCCACCCTGGCTTCCCTCAGCCACGAACTTCAGMGAGCCACTCTACACCCACCTCTCTCAAAAGAATTTTTGATGTCATTCACTTCGACCTGAGATCCGGGCACTCTGAAGATCCCCTGCTGCTGGAGTCCTAAGATAGAAACATACAGAGAAAGAAACAGTAAAGGACATGAGACCAACATGAGTCTGTGGGAATATCCGTAACTCGCTCCCTTGCTTGTCTCTTTCTCCCTCCACCTTTTACAAGAGGGTCATTCCCAATGACAGTCCCCTGGCAGAACCTGTGCCACTGGAGGGATTAAAGGACCTGCCTCATTCTCAATGGAATTAATGGGGAGACTCATAATCATTCCTTGATTCCGTTTTCCACTTAAAACAATTCATGTTATAGTTCAGGAAGTATTTACTCTTAAAAGACAGGATGTAGTCAAAGTTTGGGGGTATACAGAATATATTCAATAAATGCTGACCACCTCTTTTTTTATATAGTACCGAATTTCTAGGAGCCAAGTGTCTGACCTCAATGTCCTGGCCCACTCCACCCAGCCATGCTGACCCTGCTTCCCACATTAGGCCTTTCCCATTCTCCATCCTCTCCACCAGGCTGCTCAGCTGCTGTCCCTTCTGTTTATTTGGAACTGATTTMAAATATCACCTCCTCAGAGAGGTTTTCTGTCACTGCCTTAGCCAAATCAGCACCCCACCACCACCATTCTCTATCCCTTGTAGTGAATTTTGTAGTATTATCCCTAGTTGTGATTTCATTACAGTCAGCCCTCTGCATCCAAGGCTTCCCCATCAAGGGATTCAACCAAATGCAGATTGAAAGCATTTGAGAAAAAAAAAATATGCCTGTACCAAACATGTGCAGATTTTTTTTCTTGTCATTATTCCTAAACAATAGAGTATGGCAACAATTTACATGGCATTCACATTGTATGAGTTATTATAAGGCATCTAGAGATGATTTAAAGTCTGCAGGAGGTGTATGCAAATACTACACCATTTTACATAATGGATCTGAGCATCTGTGGATTTTGGTATCTGCAGGAATTTGGATATAGAGGGATGACCATGTTTATCTTTCTGCCTGTTAATTTCCTCTCCCTCTTATTTAGAAATATACACCCCYCAGGGCAGACATTATATCTGTCTTGTTCATCCTTGTGCTCCCACTTTCCAAAACAGTGCCTGTTATACACTCAGTAAACATATTTTTGGAGGGATGAGTAAGTGGATAAGCAGAAGTTACCTTCTCGTGACAACTGGTTACCAAATCCCAGACACTGTTTCCTCCATGGGATTTATAATCTAGTAGGATTAACTGATTTACTGGCCCTGGGGTTGGTTGGGAGCAAAAAAAGGAACTAAAATAATCCTGCTGTCTACTCCCTCATTGCACCCCTGTTATCCTAAGCCCTGGGTCCCTCACCACTATGTCCCATCCCCCAGCCACCAAGACACACAGCTCCAACGTCAGCACTCCAATCAGCAGCTGTTCCCTGGAGCATGTTCCTCCTCAGAAGCAGAACAGTGACAGGAAGTCTTCCAAGACAAATTAGAATTTCATTCCTACCAGAACAGTCCAGCACCTGTTCTGCAGAGAGCTGAAAGTACTGACCCAAGATTGATCTTACCATATAAATTGATGTATCGGATGCAGCTCTCAACTACAAGTGGTATAGCTTGTCCTGAATCCTTAAGGGAAAAAAAAAATGTGAGTTTTATTGGGCTTGGCAACCACCACTGGGAAAAGATACTGCAAACACAAATTAACAACTCAAGCCAGAATATTAGTACCATCAGATTAGTAGGAAAATAAGCAAGGAAGTGCTAATCCTAAWGTCTCTGTGATARTTAACAATAAAGAGTCTTTAGTTAGTGCAGAAAAAAGCATAGCTATGATAATCTGAAAGAAATGCTCTGTCTTCTTACCCAGCCAGCAAGGAATCTGGGATCATGAGGTTTGACAGGCACATCTAGGACAGGGGAGAGGGAACCCGCCCTGTGGAGGGGGCTGGAGTCTGACCTTGAAGGATGCTCTGCCTCCCACTCYACTTTGCTCCAACTCAACCTTCTTCTCCCAGTGCTCATGTGTCCAAAGGCAAGATCAAGGCCTCTTCCCATTACTGAGGGGCCTGATGGCAGAATTAAGAACACGCCCTGTGGGAAGCCGGGCTGGCCCCCATGGGTTTCTTCTGAGCTCTAAGAAGGGAAGGCTAGTTCCAGTCATTACAAGCTAAACATTCAGATACACACACTGAGACTSTAGACTTATCCAGACTCTCCATGGCTGGGCAAGGGGCAATCTCCTTTGGATTCCAAGACTGGTTGACCTCCCTATTATTTCAGGTCATTTAAAGAGCACAGAATTTTTTTTTTGAACTTTCTTTGAAAAGGGGTCAAATTAAGTTACTACCCTCCTCAGAAGGTGAGGGGGACAAGGAAGCATATGCAATATGCTCTTGCAAAGGTGGCRTGGACTTCAATGCTCCTGGCTCTTCCACACCCAACCTGTCAGTTCTGCCCTTGCTGGAGTGCAGTCGGGAAACGGAAGGATGTGACCCATCGGCAACAGCCAAAGTGGGCTCTGCTCTGCAAGTCCTATCTAAACACAGATTCCATCCAACTGCAAGGGGCTAATGGGCCTTTCTAGTAAATACCTGGTTCCTGGTTCGAGCATTTCTTCTTCCTCTGATAACAAAAAATAAACAGGCAGCAGAGCAGGAGAAAAAGAAAAGATTATGCAGGAATAAGATCAGTTATAGTAAGCAGATAGTTCAGAGTCCGTGAACGCCGAAATGCAATGGCAGCCAGCAAGGGTCCTGGGGGCCTGCCAATGGGCCTGCCGTGGGGAGGGCCACCCTGACCTCTGTCTCTCACTGGCCTTCCAGGAGCTGCCCTCAGCCAGCCTCCCAATAGGTAGACTCAGCTCCTTTGCCAGACACCGGTAAAGAAGGGGCCTCTTTTTGTCCTTATCAAAGTACAGGAAGAATATCTTGAGCCCAGTCCCATCTCCAAATCTACTTCACTTCAACAAAAGGGACGASTGATTCACAAAAGGGAAGAGCCCACCGAAGTCCCCAAAGGGTAAACCCAGCTGCCAAAGCAAAGAAACACACCTTATGTCTACTCTAACACTGTCCCTGGAATTCAGCCCAGAAATCCTCATTCTTGGTAAAAAGTTCAACTTTACATGATGATATTTATTGGGAGCCTAGCCAGAGGGATTCCACCAGAACCCAAACTCCAAACATTTCCCCACATTCTCCCAATACTTGGCTTGCTTTTCTGGGTATCTACTTGGCTTTGCTCTCCTTCCTATCCCTAGTTCTCCCTCTCGCACCCAGTACCCTGCTGAAACCAAAGATGAAGGCTGGGAGGATGGAGAGAAGGTGGGTCACCTTTCTGATTTTAGGGGTGGAACCCGAGCCTTTGCTTTCACTAAAAACTCCCAGTGTTCAGAGAACCTGTTGGCTATTTCTTGCCACATGGGCARTAGGTCAGACTCTGAGATGGGTGTTGTGTCTCAGTCAGGCCTGTGGAGGAGGCTGAGCTGAGAATTTGGAGGAGGTGTGACTACCAGCTGGTGCCACCTGTCTAGACCCCAGCATCTCAAAAAGTGGAATCATCTGCTACCTGATATCTGGCTAATGCTATCTCAATCACGGAACCTACAGAGCAAACAGCCTGGCCCAAGGGGGCTCTAGAAGCATTAACCTAAAGTTAATGATAATAGACAGGGCTTACATTGCGCTTATATTGTGCTGGCCAGTGTTCTAGAAGCATGGCCTGCCTAGAAGCTCACTCAATCCTCATCACATAAGGTAGGTCATTATCATTGTCATCTCACAGAAGCAAGATGGAGCCTATCCCCTGCCCCAGAGGTGTACCTCCTGGGCCTCAAAATACACTCTTAGAATAAATATGGGATCTCCTTCTGAGAACAACAACAACAAAAAAATCTAGGATTTAAGTATATTTAAGTAGAGTCCTAGAAATTTCTAAATCTAAATCCAACGGCATTTATTTATTAATAAATGCCTGCTGAAACATCAGAGTCATGGAGTCCCACTGATTTTATTTCACTGAGATACTTTCCACAGGTGTGGTTTTTCAAAGCTGGGACAGATTGATTGATTAATTGATTGATTGATTGGATGATACTAGGGATTGAACCCAGGGGCACTTTACTATTGAGCTATATCCCTAATCCTTTTATTTTGAGACAGGGTCTCACTAAGTAGCTTAGGGCTTCTCTCAGTTGTTGAGGCTGGCCTTGATCTTGTGATCCTCCTACCTCAGCCTTGAGATTACAGGTGAGCATCACTGCACCTAGCAAAAGCTGGGGACTCTTAAATTTAATGGCCCAAAAGATAACACATGAACTAGAATCAAAAATTAAATTCCATTCTCATTAGTTGAAGAACTGAATAAATTAGACTGCTCTCTCACTTTCTGAAAGTTAATAATCCTTCAGAGTAAATCGATGCTGTTTGAAACTGCCTACTGAGCTCATAGTAGGCACACACAATAAGTTTCCTGAACTGCAATGATTATAGGTGCTACAGGTACCGTGTGACTATAAAGAAATGCAATAGCATTTAACAAATATACCTTTKTTTCCCCCAATCATATTAGTATTCTTCTCCCTTGGCCCCTTATGAGGCAGTGCACTTACTCCAACGATGCCACAACTATTCATATGCGCTAGGGGCTTTTTTCAGAGTTAGTTGACAGGTACCACTGTACCGTATTCCCTTTGCCACTTCAGATCTCCAGTGGTGTTGCAAAGCTAAGCTTCAAATGCAGCTTTTTATTCCAAAGTGTCCATTTTAACACAAAGTTATAGCACTAATGACAGAGGCCAGGCAAGAGGGCTCTAAAGAAGACTGGCTAAAAAGTTGTGGCAGCAAAGGTGATGRTGATATAATTAGAAGAAGAAGATGGCTTCCCAAGGCAACTAGCTCAATGGGCACATGCTCATGTGGTCAGGGGAATGAAGTTGGATGACTTTACAGTCACACAATACACGTAGGATCTATYAAGAGAACATTTAACTCAATGGAATACCTAATTTTCAAATACTGTCAAATAAGAGTGAATTCCTTCCAAAGATAAAGCAAATTAGGGAAGTTGTCCCTGTTCTGAACCTTTGTTCCTTTTGTTCCTCCTTTCAGGGGTTCCTTCTGTCCAACTCCACAGGCCAGCCCTGTACCTAGTTCTTTTCTGTCCTGAAAGCCTGTGACGTAACCCATACGCATATAGAGGAAAGAAAGCTGGCGCAGGGGCTGCCTCCATAACTCCAAAGTGATCAGCAATGCCCAAATACCTTCACTTGTGTCCTGATTGACACCAGTCTTCTTTTCTGAAGAAAGTGTCTTGATTGGCTGGGGGCAGGCTCTCAAATAACCAGAAAGGATTTTGCCTCTGTTCCCCTAAGTAATAAGAATGCATGTCCCCCTGCCTGCTGCTCTTTGCAATAYCATCACCATCTTAAATTGCCTAGAATGGTTCTATCTGGGATGGCTTGTTCTTTTTTTAATATTTTATCATTTTTTAGTTGTAGTTGGACACAATACCCCTATTTCGTTTGTTTATTTTTATGTGGTGCTGAGGATCAAACCTAGGGCCCCACACATGCGAGGCAAGTGCTCAACTGCTGAGCCACAACCCCAGCCCCGTGGATGGCTTGTTCTTATACCCTTTACATCAAAGGAAAAAGAAAAAAGGATAGAGAAATTTATCTAGTCAAAATGCTTTAATATTTAGTTTGAGGTGTCATGGGTTAACTTGTGATTCTAAAAGGACCACCTCGACTCTTCTCCCCTGTTCTAAACCATCTAAAAAGACAAAACTAGGTGGGAAGAATTTCTCTCACTCAAATTGTTTATGTTTCCTTTGCTGATATCTACTCAACTAAATGAAATAAAATAATGCACTGGTATAAAAACACACTATTACCCATAGGRATTTTGTTGGTGTTGCTTTCATTCAGACTCCTCTTGAGAAATGTGGGTGTAAAGTATAATGGGGTTTTTCCTTTCTTCTTCTTTCTGTTGTGGTGCTAGGGATGGAACTCAGGGTCTCCCACACKGTAGGTAAATACCTACCATTGAACTACGTCCCAGCACTAGATAATGGGATTTTCCTAACTGTCCCTCAAGCTTTAGGACTACAGTTCCTGAAGCAGTGAAGTGTCTGGCGGTTCAACCCCACTTGGACTTGGTTGATCAGGCATTTCCCCCTAGGACTGAGAATCGTGGACAGTATTGGGGGCACCTGGTCAGAGCAAAGCACCTGTGATGAAGGGTCCTCACTGAAGCTACCAGCAAGCTGCAACAAGGAGCTAGCTCAATCAGGACTGGCCCAGGAATGGAATGGAAAGTTAGTTGGGACACATTGTTAGCTGGAGCATGAGGGTGGACAGAGGCTGCCATTACATTGGGCACATTCGCGGACTCCATGGCTCCCCAGCAAGTACCTTAATGAATGTTTCCATACTGCCGTTAAAGAGCTTATGGCTACACACTGAAAGAGGCCTAGGTCTCCTCATTTTCTGTGGTTTAGGGGGAAGGCAGGGGGGCCTAGGGGAAAACGGAACAAAAGAAATCAAGAAAACAACAAACATAAACATCCAACTGGGAAAGACGCTCTTAAAACCCCAAACTGGAGGAGAACATAAATGTAAATGGAAGCCCCTGGACCCCCGAAGCATTGGTTTCCAATGTTCCATCTGAGGCTTTTGGGTGTCTTAGGAAATCTTAATTTACCCACAATGCCAGGCAGGAGCAACTCTCATGGAACACAAATGCATTTAAATTAATGTTGGGGGTTGGGACAGTATGTGTCCAAGAAACCACAGAAACTCTAATCAGAGGCCGTTATCCTGCAAAGCTGACCAGATGGAAGGGGGATCAGGGGAGAGAGATGTAATCAATAGCCTAAGAAAGCAAGAGACTTTCAAAAATTATTGGGAGGGTTAATTTTCATTATTTTGGCTTAAATCCATCACCAAGTCTCAACTCCCAATGTACCAGGGCACTCATCTTCCTAATGCTTCTTGGCATTTCAAATGCACTTGACTAATCTTTATTTCATTGATCTGAGAGCCAGGCAATTATTATTCTCATTTCTGAGATGAAGAAGCTGATGCCAGGAGGCAGGCTGCAGCTTCTTCGGGGTYCCCAGGAGACCTGGGATGATGATAATACCCTGTTCTTCAGTAAAGTACACTTTTGATTAAAGTACTTTCAAGTCCATTATCACACCTARCAGATGTCAACATATGGCCCCATTTTACAGAGGCAGAAACTGAGGCCAGAGGGCAGAAGTGGCAGAGCCAGCCCCAAACCTAGGTCCTTTGGGCTCCACCTCCAGGGTTTTTCCTACCAGGTCACAGTCATGGAGCCTTAGGGTTCCTTTTCATTTCCAGCCAACCCTTGCCATGGGGTCAGGATGAAAGTGTCTTGCTTTGCTTTAGGATCCCCAATACCTGTGCTCTGTTCTTGGCCACAGGGAGGGGAAACACACCACAGTTTACCAGGAACAATGAAACTGCCACAAACACTAGACCTGTTTCCAGAGTTGCTCACCATGCATAGGACTGTGTGGCTTATTTGCTCATGATATCACCCAACTAGCACGAATTGAGGCTGCCACATTTTCCAGGCAAAGGTTTGTTTTTTGGGTTTTTTGTTGTTGCTGTTGCTGTTTTTGTTTTGTTTTTGAGGTTAGGAGGAGGGCCCCTAATCAAGAGAGGCAGTCATTTCCAAATGGCTTGGTTCCAAATTTGTGGAGCACAAAGTGGGTACTCAGCCAGACACAGAGAATATCCACACATGACAAGCAAAGCCCTGGTCCCCAAAGTTTTGGTTGATGTTTGTGAATGGGCAGGAAGGTGTAGACAATCAAGACAAATGAGGCTCATGCTGCCTCTTTCAGGGAGCTTGCTGTACCTGTCTCCTGGAGCAGGCCAGCCTGGGGAATGCTGACCAACTCTTCCTAGGAGTTGAGCATTGAGCAAATTCTGCTAAGCTCTAGGGCATGCATGGGCAAAGACACACTCCAACTARCATGCCACCCAAACAGTGGAACCAAAATAACAGCACAGACCAAAATTTTGTAAAGAAACAACAGGCAAGATTATTTCGAGCCCATCTTGGATCTAAGTCAATTTGGTTAGCTAAGTCCGTGTCATTTCTTTTTCAAAAATTACTTATTTTCTGAGGCTCTGTGTATGGAAGGAGGGGTGGGATTTCTAACAATGGACTTGGTTTTGAATTTCCAAATGCAAAAAAGCCGAAAGAGCGTGCCAAAAACGTGACACGAGGCCACAGGTTTTAACTTTGGGGATCAGAAATAACTTAAGGCTAGCAACATTGTCACCTTATTTTAGATCATTTCCTTATCCTGCATTGAGGATGACCTCAAAACAACCCTGTGAGGTCGGCAAGAACTGCTAAACCCATTTCACTCTGAAGGCAAATGAGCCCACGRCAGTGAACGGACGCCCCTGGTCACACAAATAAAATGTGATTGAAACTGGGAGTAGAATGCTGCTCTCCCTACTTGAGACTCCAGTATGACTGTGACATGGAGAAAGTGATTTTATCACAGAACAGCCAGCAGTCATATTGATTTATCTACTAAATGCTCGTGGCCAGCAAGAGTGGAGACTCATGGTGCAGGTGATGGACAACCAGGATCAAAAATCTCTGTGGTGCCCAGTTGGAAGGTTTTCTTAATATAAGTCCTAAGGTTTTCTTAATATAAGTTTTTTTTTAGAAACTTTACACAAAGTGGAAATAAAAGGAAAATAGTATATCCTTCCCCATTTTCCCTGCCCAATTCAGAAAACAAAGGGCCATTTGTATCACACTGGGACTGCTTTCTGTGTGGCTCTGTGCACTGACTGGAATCTCTGACAGGGAACCGTAGCTATCCCAACTTTGCACGATATCAAATCTGTATAGACTTACTGAAGTGCTGGGTGGGGCACAAAGTGGGGAGCAGGGGGACAGCTCAGCCAAGGAAAGTGGGGCAGCCTAAGCCTTCCATCTCTTCTGCTGCTCAGTTGCAGAGCAAAAAAGGAAAGAAAGAGAGAGAGAAAGAAAGGCAGGGCAAACAGGGACAGAGAAAGCCACAGAGAGGAAGAAAGAGAAACCAGAGACCAATGTCCCCTTTCTGCCTTTCAAACAAGATGAAAATCAATATATGTTGGCAACCCAGGTGTTGGCTTGAAATTATTCTGTGACCAAAACGATGTGATTATAGAAATTTCCCTAGAAAACCTAATAGACATGGATGTCAAATCCAAAATGGTGGCAATACCGAAGTTCAATGCAGTGAAGCTCTAGGGGGATGTGCCTGTGTATGTGCTGAGTTGTATTTGTCTAGACACTACGTCAAGTAATTTCACCTCTAATCTAGACCACAGGGCACGTCCCCCTGGGTTAGGGAGGCTAACTTTGTTTGAATGACAATAATTACAAATTCATGTTTTTCCGTGGCTTTGCCATTTGTCATATACTTTTTAAGTGCAATATCACATCTGGCCAGCCTAAGTTATAGTTATTATAAATTTGTACTATTCAAAGATAAGCTTCTTAAGTGTGAGAAAATACAACATGTTGCATCTGGTGTGCAAAAACTGGCCCTTCTAGACACAGTTACCAGCAACCTGGCTTAGGGAACCTGCTCAAATGACCATCCTAAATGAGAGTGCAAGGGTCTATGAAAGGTATAGAGTCACAGTACAGAGACATTTCACCCAGGGCCTTCTGTGATTAATTTTAATTTTTTTTCCAAGTTGGCAACAAGTTCCACAAGTTAAATAATGATTGTGGAAGCAAGGACAGGCTTCTAGTTTATGAACAAAGTTTGACCTTGGCCAGGAGCCAGAGTGCATCCTCTCCTAGGTCTAGAGTTTAGTGGCAAGGTATCTAAGTGTGAGGTCTGGTAACTTTAGCTTGAATTTTCCAAGTCCTTGGTTAAAGTGGGTGTGGAAGACAAGGCCTCATAGGGCTTTATGTAATTTTAAAAAAAAAGAAAAAAAGAAAAATCAACCCTCAACATTCCCCTGAGGGAGGAGACCTGGCCAAGGGTTTGATTACAGATCTCCGCTCCAGCAATCTGCTGGAGCAATCTTCTCCTGCCTGAGTCGTAGGAATGAGGAGGAAGTGAGGATTGGCTCCATTCATCTCCATCTGTTCCACTATTTGCAGACTTCGGTATAAAATATGGCTTCTGTGTTTTGGGATTATAACAACATCTTCTTGCCAGAAAAAAAAAAAAAAGTAATAATAATAAGTTTGTTTCTGAAAGATTCTTCGAAAGTGACCCTGCACATCTGCTGCCCCATATGTGGGAAGGTCCTTGCCTGGTGTGAATCATTTTGATGTTCCCAAATTCCCAGGCCCAGAGGAACAGCTGCACAGGCAGAATTTCTGGAAAGCCCTTGTCCCAACACTCTTAAAAGCCCGGAGCTTTCCAAGTCTCTGCCCTGCCTATTCCCTTCCCAAGCAGCAGGGGAGAGTTGGGGGATCATGTTTGCTCTTGCCAAGTAGGCCAGCTTTCCAGGATTCTGAGCCACTGGGAAGGATGTGTGAGGGGTTGGAAAGAATGCCATCAGGTCACTGGGCCCAGAAAGTGAGGCAAAAAGTGGTTCTCAACCGCGGCAAAGTGCAGAACTTCAGACCACTGATTGAGTTCATGTCCAGCAGCCTCATAGCTCTTGCTGAGAACTTTGAAATGGATGGGCTCCAAGGAATAACCTGGGTGGTGACAGAGCTGCTTATGGTTCTAAGTTCTAAGCTCTGGGAAAGCAGAGGCAAGTGAGCCTATGAGCTCTCAGCTGCTGAGGCAAAGTGTTCACTGGCTCTGGTGTGCTCAGGAAAAAGCGCAAAGAGTAATGTTGAACAAGCTGAAGAGAAAGCAGAAGTTGCCCATTTGTTACTTTCTGCGACAGCCCATCCAGGTGCCCATGARGTCCAAGCCAGGGTGTGAGCAGCGCGGATGTGTGAGCACGCATCTGTGTGTGTCCGCGCGCGCATGCGTATGCCCAGCTGTGCACAATATCAGCCAAACCCCCAAAACTTGCTTGACAAACCCAGACTGAGGCTGAGCCGGCCCACCTAAGCTGGGCAGTTCGCTCAGTGACCACATAACAAAAGAGAGGCGGGGGGGTGGGAAGGTGTCAACAGCCTCTGGCTTCTACTGGCTGTCCTCTGTGGCTCTAAGGTAGATATTGCTGACCCACCTAGTGGACAGCACCAAGGGGAAATGACCCACAGCAGCTCCAACAGAGCCCCCAGCCCACCGACAGCTCAGGGGGCGTGGTTTCGCCACTCCAGTGCTACAACAAGCAACCTCTAACCTCCACGGCYCCTGTGCCTTCCCTTAGCATCCGCACCACCCTGGCTGGTGAAGTGCGTCCCAGCTTCCCTCGCTCCCAGCGGTCTATCCCTCGCCAACCACCCCACACCCGACCTCAGGCAGCAGGTAAAAGAGAACAACAAGATTTTCCAACTCTCACCTGGTGGTGCCACATTCTGCTCTCTCCCCTGGGGAGAAAAAGTACACGGTAATGTTTAATTGGCTTTTTTTTTTTTAAATCAGAACATTCATTTTTTTCCCCCTTAAAAGCAAAAAAGATTCTTTGTGCCATTTATAGTCACTGTTCCCACCACCTGCCCCAGACAACCACCAACTACTCTCAACCGCTGTAGGTTTGCCTGGACGTTGACAGAATYGTCCAACATGTGACCTTCTGCACTGGTGTCTTTCATTTAGCATTATGTTTTTGAGGTTCATCCACATAGCATGATTAAGTAATTCATTCCTTTTTTTTTGGTTGAGTAATGTTTTTTTGTATAGACAAACCAAATTTTCCTTATCCATTCACTTACCAGTAGTTAKCCTCTCAATATCTCTCACCTTAAACGTTCCCCCAAAACACATCCCGTTTCCATGTCCCAAACCTAGTCCTACCCAAGTCTTCAAAATCTCAATAAATGGGACACCCACCCACTTGTTTAAGCCAGAAGTGTAAGAATCATCTTTGAAAACTATTTCCTCCTTAAATCTGCCCACTTCCCTCCATCTTGGGCCAGTTCCGTGTGTGTGAGTGTGTGTGTGTGTGTGTGTGTGTGTGTGTGTGTGTGTTGCTGCGGACTGAACCTAGGGCCTTGTGCATGCTAGGCATGCACTCTACCAACTGAGCCACATTCCCAGGTCCCCATGTTCCTTTTACTCAGTTTTTCTATCCAGTACAGTCCATCCTGGACTCATGAAGATGATGGGTAATAAATCTCTTTAAACTGCAAATAATATCATGTCATTTCTTGCTTACARCCTTCCAATAACCTCCCACTGCACATAGAATAAAATCTAAGCCTCTTACTATTTTTTAAAGGCTTTTGAGATCTGAGTTGATCCTGTGAGCTACTACTCCGACTACCTGGACTACTTTCTCTTTTGAGCATGATGTTCCYGACAATTTCTTTCTGCACAGTCCTCAAACAGGCCTTTGCATTTGCTTCCTGGAATCTTCTTCCCCATATACTTGCTTGGCTGGCTTTTGCTTGCTTTCTGGGTCTCCGCTGAAAAGTTGGGTCCAGACAAAACTTCTTCTACCTAAAGCAGACATTTATCTCCTTATGTCACCTTTATCTATTTAACTTCTCTCTTTATAGGGCTTAATATCAATATTTTTCTTGCCTCTTATTTACTTGTTGATTCCCAGTCTAGCTCCACTAAACAACACTCCATTCTATAGAGAAGGAATCTCATCTGTTCTTAAAATTTCTATAACACCATGGTCTTGGACACAAATCATGCGTTTTGCACAAATCATGTGCTCAATAAATATTTATTGAATGAGTAAATGAATAAACAGATCCTTTGCCTTCAACAAGCTCAGTGCTTAATGATTATAACAGTCCAAAAGTAGAGTATGCAATAGTGTGACATGCAGTAGTGCCACAGTACAATTGCACACAGGGTATCAACCCTGTAACACCAGACAAGCAAAATGATTTGAACAGATGAAGTGACTTTCCCAAGTCCCTGCTTAAGTATACAGTTTGGACTCCAATCCAGGCTATCGGGCTTCATATCTGAGCTTTTCCTGGGGAACTTGGTCCACCTCACACACATGGGATTAGGGAAGATTAGAATCCCCAGTAGAATTTGCCTCAAACTCAGTGTATCCTTAAAGGTGATGCTTGGCTTTTAATAGCATCCCTCTGCCCCAACTTTCTTTCCACAATTATTGTATATGATTGACACTTCTCAGCCTTCAGCCTCAACTTACRCATCACTTCCTGGAGGAGGTGATTTCCCCCTCCCTGCCTGCCGTATACAGTTTTCTAGCTCARCCCAAATCTGTCATTCATGGGGCTTATCATAATTATTACTCTTTACTCAGTATAGTCATGAGCTGCATAGTGATATTTTGATCAATGACATTATGAGAGTGGTCCCATAAGATTATAATGCAGCCAAAAAATGCCCATCGCCTAGTGACATCATAACCACCATAATGTCATTGTTGTGCAATGCATTTCTCATGTTTTTTTAAATATTTTTTAGATGTCAGTGGACCTTTATTTTATTTATGTGTGGTGCTAAGAATTGAACCCAGTGCCTCACAYGTGCTAGGCAAGTACTCTACTACTGAGCCACAACCGCAGCCCTCATTTCCCATGTTTGTGGTGATGCTGGTGTGAATTTACTACACTGCCAATTATGTAAAAGTGAAGCACATACAATTATGTACAGTGCATAATTCTTGGTAATTATAATAAACAAYTATTTTACTCATTTATGTATTTACTATAGGATAATTTTTGTTTGTTTGTTTGTCTGTTTGTTTTTTGGCATCAGGGATTGAACCCAGAGGCACTTAACCACTGAGCCACATCCCCAGCCCTTTTATAAATTTTGTTTTTTATTTTGAGACAGGGTCTTGCTAAGTTGCTTAGGGCGTTGTTAAATTGCTAGGGCTGGTTTTGATTCCCCTGTCTCAGCCTCCCAAGCTGCTGGTATTACAGGCATGTGCCACCKCGCATGGCTTAGTGTACTTTTAAAAATTATTTTAGAATGTACTCCTACCGGACAAAAGTTGACTATAAAACAGTTTGCTGCATTACTCAGGCAGCAGCCTCATATATCTTGTGTTCAGTGTCTTAATCACATCATTTTTCTTTTGCTTGATTTAATCTCATGCCACCTTGTTCATCATGGCCCTAGGAGCAGCAGGCTATCATATATGTATATTCTATGTATAGTCTAGCCTCCTACTCTAAGAATGCCAAATTTGTGTACGAGCACTCCATGACTTCTGCACATGGTGAAATTGCCTAATGGTGTGTTTCTCAGAAACTATCTCCATCATTAAGCTATGCATGACTGCTGTTTGTTGACTGAAGTYTCTTTCCCCTGAGATGTTATCTGTCTTGTGTACCACGGTATCCCCTGGCCATGCACAGTGGTGCTTTTAGATGAGCAGACAGATGGAGTGGGGAGGGAAGAAGGGAAGGGGTARGAATCAAAGGGTTTAGGACATGGGAGTAAAACATCAGAACACACTTAAGGCAGACTTTCCTCTAACAAGGAATCTAACATATCTAACATATGATCCTTTTTGTTTTGGTTTTGGTTTTGGTATTCGGTATTGAACCTAGGGATGCTCTATCTCTGAGCTACATTCCCAGTCCTTGTTATTTTTTATTTTGAGCTAGTGGCTTGCTAAGTTGCTTAGGACCTCACTAAGTTGCTGAGGCTGACCTTGAACTTGCAATCTTCCTGCCTTAATATTCCACATTGCTGGGATTGTAGRTGTGTACCACTGTGCCYAGCAGGATCCTTCAGCTTTATAGTCACATTCTAGCTCTTAAGAACGCCATTATCAACATCTTTAGGAATAGTATTTCAACTTCTAACAAATGTCAGAAATCAAAAAAAGCTCTGTTCTTAACCTCCTGAGACGTGCTGAGATTTTAAAGACACATATTTTATAGTTGGTACCTCAGCCATTTTCTAGAAGGTCAGACTGTCTAGTCCTGGTGGCCATTTTGCTCTATGATGGGCTATTAAGTTTGAGCCTGAAAGGTTTATCCCATCCCTGTTATAGACAATGCATTTATTAATCCTTGAGGGATCTTAGTAACCTGAAAAACCACCTTATCAGGGTATAAGCCCTGGAGCTTACAGAATACCCAAACCTCAGAGCAATAAAAAGGTCCTAGATCTAAGACTCATGATAAACTGAGATGATGATAAACAGAGATTTCTCTAGTCAATAAAATGACATAGCAACAGCCAAGGGCACAAGAGGATATATGTTCTTGTTCCCAAGGTGACAGCAGCAGCATTTGTAACAGGGAACCTAGCTGCTTTAAAACTTGTGTGCCTGGGGTCAATCACATTAAGAAATTCACTTCTAAGTAAAGGTGACCAAAAAGACCTTGTGCTTCCTGTAACTTTTCTTTGAACTTGCTGCCAAAAGGGCACTTTAGAGATAAACTGAAGCATCAGACATGAAACTTCTTTAAAAAAACAAACAAACAAACAAACAAAACACCTTATCTTTTTAGCCAAATATTCCTTTGGCCCTATATTTCTTATTTGGCTTTTAAATTTCTAAATCATCCCTCCATATACAAAACGACTGTCAGAGAACATATAAGAGCCATTGATCCAGGTACAACTATACCCTGGCCCAACTCTTAGAAAAGATTCCATGGAATAGAGAAGTCAAAATGATCAGTAGAAGGGCTGGGATTGTGGCTCTCTGGTAGAGCACTTGTCTAGCACGTGTGAGGCACTGGGTTTGATTCTCAGCATTGCATATAAATAAATAAAATAAAGGTCCATTGACAACTAAAAATATTTTTAAAAATGCTCAGTAGAGGCAATTCATTGATCAACACTCAGAAGAATGAATTTGATAAGATTCTGAGCTCTCTTGGCTGCTCARTTTTTCCATGTACCCCTTTATCCACTGGGCAAGAATATTCTCACTCTGAATCAAATTCTTCTGGTTGTAAAGTCTCCCTTTTCACTCAATATCCTAAGAATCCATAGTATACTTCACTGTGTAGTAGATATAAAAAATGAATGAAGATTTGGTCTCAATTTATTCAGCTTCAGTTTTTTTCTGTCAGTCAGTAGTTTACTAACTTTAGTTCATAATAGTATATCAGTATTCATTGATTGTGATAAATATACCATACTAATGTAAGATGTTACTACAGGGGAAACTGGGTATGAGTATGTGGGAACTCTTGTACTATCTTTCTAAATYTTCTGCAAATCTAAAACTATTGTAAAATTAAAAGTTCATTCAAAAAACTTTTCTAGAATTGGCCAGTGTACCAAGACCTATTGTCAAAGGAAGCAAGCTAGGCTTTTCCATGGCTGGTTCACTAAAAGAGATTCTGGATGGTTCTTTCTTAGCAGCCCTGTATGTCTAAAGCTACATGTTCTTACAGCTTTTGTTGCTAGCAGCTCAAAACTTGGAAGAAAGCCACATCTCAGGACAAGGTGAGTTTGGAGGCTAAATAAACTTGGAAAACCAAATGGACCAAGAGTTGTACCAATCATAATAATTACTATTATCTCATTAGGGCCAGTTAGGCAAGGACAGCAATAGAAGTTTCCATCTGACAATGCACAGGGAAGAGCCAGAGAGTTTTCTCTTCCCAGTCTAAGGACTCATAGGATCTTATTTTTTAAAAGAACATCTACTTTTTCTAAACCCAGGGAATCTTATTCTGAAAATACAAGTAGCCACAAACTCATATGAGCCTTTCTTTCATACAGGGCTCATGAGAATGGCCCCCAGAGCCAGGCCCATAAAAACTAATCCTCCTGTCTATTCCTCGTCTTGGAAGCTACCCTGTTACCCACTTCCCCTGAGCTTCTCTTGGACTTTCTGTCTCTTCCCTTACACCTTCATTCTTGCTGTTTTTCTACCTTCTTTGTTACCTACACCCTCCTAAGCCCTTCTACTCCCTAGTCCAATATCGAAATGTCAGAATGGGTAGAATTTAAGGCGGGGAGGGGTGCGGATAAAGAGAAAGTTCATTGAAACTAACTCCTCTCCCCCTTTACTCGCCAATCATGAGTTTTGACAAATGTATGCCCCCTGTGTATAATCACTACTCAAATCAGGATATAAAACTTTTCTATTACCCCCAAAACCTCCAAGTTCTGACCAGCTACAGCACACAAAACTGATCTATGGTGACAGCAATCAGATCAGTGGTTGCTTGGGGTAGAATGGGAGGACTGGCTGGAAAGGGGCAGAAGGAGATTTTTAATGGTGATGGTTTTCTATTCTGGCTTGGGTGATGGCTGCACGTGCAAAATGCAAAGGCCCTGGGACAGGAATCAGCTTGGTGGGTTTTGAAAGGCACAGACTTGTCCTGCCTGGATGGAACACAGAAAGGATGAGATTCGGAAATAAGCAGAAGCCAAGTGACAGAGAGGCTTATGTGCCATGAGAGCAGCTGGGGTTTTATTTCAACTGTCACTAGAAGATTTGGGTGGTTCTAAGCCTAGTCTTCAGGTCCTCCAAGGACTAAACCATGTCTCATATGTCTGGAATTTCCTTCTCTGGACCTAGAACCCTCGCCRGGCACTCTACCCATATTTCTGGCATCTGCTGAAAATCATCAATGCTGACCCCTAGGTCCCTGGATTCCCACCCACTACCTAATGAGTACTAGACCATGACCTTCGCCCTTATCCTAAACTAAGACCCACGATTACCCTCTATTTTCTGCAGCCAGACTGGACCCAATTTCCCCAGCTGCCCAGTCCTGGCAGGTGGGTCCAGTACCAGGCCCCATTCTGCCAAGGGTTCAGAGTCTCAATCCTAAACAGCTCAGAAGCCCCAGGGAACACAACAGGACCTAGTGGGGAAAACAGCCCCTCCTGGGGGCCTCTACGACCCAACTCACCTTCTCCAAGTGTCTGCTTGAGTAAGTCGTGCTTGGCCTGTAGCTTGGTGATGAGGTTACTGCCATTCACATATTCTTTAAATTTCTGTAAGACACAGGGTAAAAGGAAATTAGAGGACAAGTGCTGGGATCTCTGCCTCTGGAATGACCTCTGGGTAGGGAGATTAGGTCATGCTTGAAGACCCCAGGCTTTTGCATCCGCTCCTAGTTCTCCAAGTGGCTGCCCAGTCCCTGGGGGATGCTAGGCTTTAAGGTAGGGTTTGGGAGCACAAAGGAAGCCCCAGGAGGATAGGAACAGTGAAATCTGCTCTTCTTAGGTAGGGCTGTGGGTAGCACAAAGAAAAAGGCTTCTTTGGTTATCAAAAGCCTACTGTATTTCTGGGCCAAGAACAATCAAGATGGAAACCATCCCAATGGCCAGGCAGCTACAGCTAGAGAGCTGGCAAAGAGGAGMCAGGGGGCAAGTCTTTCCTTCAAATGGCCACATTCTAAAAGAGGAAGGGTTTTGCAGGCCCTGGAGAGACTTTCCCATTAAGAGAGCCCAAAGTTCATTAGGCAATATGATTTTCTTCTTCCTGTGAATGAGGCAAGGAGACAGGTACAGGAAAGTGACTTGCTCAAGGTGCTATAGAAAGGCAATAGTGACTAGGACTAGTCCTAGGCTGCCTTCTAGGTTATGCTCAGTGCTATCTGGGGCAGTACTGAGGGACAGAGAACCTTGCAGAACAGAAACATAGCCACCTGCCCATACTTGGCCTGGGTCTCAGCCTCACCTCCACACAGGTAGCAGCTTTCTTGCTCCCTCCAGGCCTATACCATGTGAACACAGGCACAGAGCCCTGCTGGGGCCTGCCTTTGCTGCACTGTGAGCAACCAGAGGCAGGGGTTTAGTTAAATCTCTGCCTCCTAGGCCATACCAACCAAGGTGGGCAGAGAGACAGTAAATGAACCAAAAATAAGTAAAATGCCAAAATGTAGTGATAGCTATGGATAAAAATGAAGCAGAAAGAGCAGGGTGGGAATCCAAGTAGGGGATGTCACTGCTAAGGGGACATTTGGGCCAAGGCCTGAAGGAGGCAGAAAAGGGACATGTGGGGACCTGAGGGAAAGAGACTGGCAAGCAGAGGGCATGGCAACTGCAGAAGCTCTGAGATGAGGTCCAGGAGCAGATGTGACTGCCCCAAACCTACCAGCTGGTTTACCACAAGGAGGTCCACTCCTGACCCAGCTAGCACACGCCAATGTGGCAAAAAGAAGAAAGCCTTGAAAGTTAAGGACAGTCACAATTTTTCCTGGAGAAGAGGGTCCCTAGGGTCACCTTTTTCCCCTGAGGACAGTTATCTTGGGAAGGGTTCCCAGGGAAGAGGGCTGACACTGACACAAATAAAACTGGGGTGGCCTCACCCTGGCCCACGCCAGTGGTTTCTGGAATGACTGTGAGGTGGGACTGCACAGCATCCTCTCCCCTTTCCCATGGCCCTTATCTCTGAGGACCTGGCTCGTTGGTCCTAAGAGTCACTCTTCTTTGCATTTGCAGAGCATGCAGCAGGCTTTACACACATGCAACAGAGACTGCAGACATTCTTGGACAGCAAATGGCAAACGCATCATCATGTCTTTTCTACCCAGAAGGAATCAGAAGCCCAGAGCTGTGCTCTCTCATTGTGTGACCTTGCCTTTCTGTTCTCTTCTGTATAAGGTGAGATGGACTCAGTGTTGATCCAAGTGTGGGCAAGAGGACAGGTGGCCTTTTAGCCAGTTGGAGAGACTGTCAACCCAGATTTTAGTTCTATAACACCTYGAGTCTTGCTTTTCACCTCAGGGTCACAGGGTGGCCCAGAAGCATTAAATATTCCAGGACGCCATCATGAGGAGGATGGGGGTCTGAGAGCCTGCATTTTAAACAAACATTTCCTGCTACCCAGAGGCTCTCGACCAATGCTTCCAGTTAACAAAATCCTCTTTTATCACAAGTCTAAGAATTCATAAAAAGCAGAGCTAAGGTGTAAGCAAGTATTCTGTCCACCAGGCTTCATGACCTCTGGCAGGAGAAGCTCTGATCTTGTAACTCAGGCTCCTGTTATCTTMTGGCCAGTGTCAATTACCCCTAAGGCTCTGTGACCTGTGGGTATGAACTTCACCCAGGTGACTGATGAAAGATAAAAGGCCATCATATTGTATTGATGTTTGCATTAAAAGCAACATTGCAAAGGTCTAGAATAATGTTAAAAATAGCAACAAGGGTTGTGAGAGAATGGACCAGCCATCCAGGTGGATGAATTGATTATTAAGAAAAGTAGACAGCATATTCTGACACTTAGTAAAAGATACTACAGAATTCTTTCAACTTCAAGCAGTCTGGACCTCCTTCTCTGCTTCTGCTGGGTAGATTTATTTGCTTCTACTGTCAAAGTGAGTTATTATTCGTACATGTCACACTCCTCACTCATCTTTCTAGCCCATAATTGTCTTTACGAATACAGTGGAAAAGCGACTGCCAGGAATTGGGTTGGGGTGATTCACAAAGATCAGCTTTGTTTTCTTTCTTGATAAGGTCAGAGAATGTTGGTGGAAGAAATATAGTATGTGCAACTACTGGTTTTCAACAAAGAATTTGATAAGGCCAAGATGAAGTCAGATGCGAGAACTGGGTGGGTTTGTGATGGGCTAAGTGAGCACAATCCAATCAGTATCAACCTCCCTGCATWGTTGTCTGTCTTAGGCATTGGCCCTGACACACCCGTTTCATTATTTTTATTGATGAACCTTAAGGTGTGGAAGCCATGTTCACACATGACAAGACAGTGTGTATGTTGAACTCCTACATAAGGATGTTGACAATCTGGAACCATGAAATGAATTCATCAAGAGGACACCTAAGTGGTGACCGACACGAGAACTACCCAAGACATCTTCTACAAAGCCTTCGAAAGGAGAAAGGCCTGGCTCATGGCCACACACACACACAGAACAGAGATTAAGCTGATATTAACTTAGCTTTAAAATAAAAATAAACAAACAATGAATATGATCCTAGGACATGAGAATGGGAATATAGCTCCTTGTATGGAGAAAGTAAAAATGTGTTCTATTCTGTGCTGGTCAGACCAAGGCTATATGTGTTCTATTCTGTGCTGGTCAGACCAAGGCTATCTCGCTGCAGAAGAGGCGCTGACAAAGAGAAGGAGTTCAGGAAGTCACTGGGATACTCAGCCTGCTCAAAACAAAAGCTTTTAAGACAGAACTGAAAGAATTAGTGAATGTGGCCTGCAGAAATGAAAACTCAGCTCCCTGCAGTCATGGAAAGACTGAAGAATTAGCCTCCCTCTGGGTCACACCAGAGAACAGAATCTAGATCAACAGCCAGAAACCCTAGTGTGTATATTTTAGAAAGTGAGATAACAGAAAACATATACCCAAAGCCAGCCAGCCAGAACCCAAACAGAAGGGCTGTTTGTGGAAGAAGGGAACTTTTTATCCTGGGGGCATTCAAGCAGAGTTTGATGACCTTCTGGACTTGAAATGCCTCAAATGGAAGAAAGTTCCCTTACAATTCCAATATTCCATACTCAATAAACTCAGGTTCAACTATAAGCCCCCTTTCCACTTTGCCTTGCTCTTCTTCCCTGCCCCCCGCCAAAATGGAAAGTAAGGATTTCATGTGGGAGGCTAGCAACTCCATGAGAAATATGCTTGGATTGCTGAGGACATTATTTCTAAAACCTACACCCAAATTTAAGACAATTCAACACAATAAAACATTTGCATAATTTTAGGGTAGTTGTTTAGGACTTATGCCTGACTCCTTTATTCATTTTTTTCTTAACCCAGCTGAACAGAACTTTCTCTTTGATCTTTTTTTCTAAAGCAGAAAAGTTTCAATGACCATCACCCAAGATCAATGTCAATATTACCCACTGATAATTCACTTTCTGCATTACAGTAAATTCAGCCAGGCAACTTAATGTTAAAGTATGTTGGAAGATTCTTAGGTCTGATTGACCAGGGTGGTTTTGCCAGTCCTTACTCCATCAGGCCAYTCCCAAACATCACAGACAGGGACAGCAGACGATTAGGTTCTGGGTCCAGGATGCCACCTACTGTAAAATAAAACATCTCTGTCTCCTGTTGGTTGGCCCTCCTCTTGGCAATGTTGATCTTGCTCATGTAGGTCTCTGACGCGGCCGACTTCACCGACTCTGTGGATCGGCTGTGTTGGAAGGCGTCAGAGACGTCAAAGTCCTCCACCGTCAGCATGTCCTGTAAAGTCTGCATGGTGGCATCCAAGGTTTTTCTAACCTGGGGAAAAAGCATACCCACAAAAGACCTTTATTCTTTCTCACAATTTAAAGTGTTTTCTCAAATTTATTCACATAAAGCCTCTAGGAGACTGGATGGACCAAGGTGCACTGAGGTGCAAAGCAAGGGAAACGAGTCATTGGTTCAAGACTGCACAGCTGGCTGGGAGAATAAGCCAGGGTGCCCCATCTAAAGTCATTTCATGGTATGGCTTCCACCAGGGAACCTGGGGGGATGCTATGATGCACAAGGGACACAGATTTCCAGGTGTGTTCCTTGCCCCCAACCAGCTTCTGCAGTGGAAGGTGATCAGTCAAATAGGAACAGCACTGGAGGTGCTCCTTCTCTTTGCTCAGAGGAGGGATGGGATGACGTCTGGAAAATGGTGGGTAGCTATGCTCCAGCCATCTGCTAGCTGATCCCTACCAAAGGTGAAACTGAGGGAAGGGAGACCCCGAGACAACAACAGTGGCTGAGGCTCTGACTGTTAGTTAGGACTTCATCTCCCTCCCAGAGTCGAGTGAAACCACAAAGGGTACAAAATCCGGGCATAAGAACCCCAACCTCACAGCACCCTTTTGCTGCATGGAGTCTAAATGGCACACGCTATGTGCTTTGATGGAAGGTCACTCCAAAAATAGTCATGGGAAAAACTGCATCAACATTTGTTGTAAAATTATCACCACTCAAGCTCTCTTGTCACGCAGGCTCAGCTGAAATGTCACCTTCTAATGACATCAGGCCCTATGAGTGTCTTAACCTAGTGCCTATGCTATCTGGTATTTTTCCAAACTCATTCATTTATTAATCTGTTTTGTGTTTTAATTTTATCTGTGACCCTCACTAGAAAATTCTATGAGAGGAGGTACTATGTTATATTTGTCCAGAACAATGTTTAGCAAATAGTATGTGCTCGATAAGTATTTCAATGCTTGTTGAATGAATAAATGAATGAATAAACAAAGTCTTACTTTGACCACAGAATGACAGGAAGGTCAGGTTTAAATTCAAGGATGGTCATGCCCATTTACAGTCCACAGAGAGGAATATTTGCTTCAATCTCTTCTCTGTGACCCTGATTTCCAATTTAAATTCCATTAACATTGTTATCCACATAATCTCCACGTAAACAACTTAAAGTCCTTTGGGGAAAGATGGAGGGCATAAACAAAGAAAGAAAATACTCTGCTCATCTCCTGTCTCTTGCTAGGCTTAAAAACCCAATGCACAGTTTGTCTCCATATAACCTCCCTCCCCCAGGACCGCTTTGATTCGTCATCGTCCTGAGCTACAATCTGTCTCACATTTGTCCTCACTCTGTCCTTTGTGGAGATGTAAGGCAAAACTGCCCTCTCTGCCCAGGATAATCCCCCTGAGATCTGAGACAGAGACTGTCTTCTCACCTCCCAAAATGACTTCACTTCTCAAGGATAAACCTGCCCACAACCTTGGGTGACACTTCCTATAATCTGTCCTTTCTCTGGGGGCCTCTGGTTGGCTGATGTCCTGCTTAGAAGGAGGTGTCCATGTTGGGACAGGGTGTTTCCAGTTTGGTCTCTTCAGTCCACGTCAAGGTGAATGCAGCTCAGCTAGGATTTCCACCTGCACCCACCCAGTAGTGAAGCCATTCCACCAGGCTTTGTGGGTGGTGCACCAGGTGGAGTAAGACTGGCTCTAAAGCCATGCTGCAGCTTGAGTGCCCTGGGTTGTTTATTTCATTGTGTAATTTCAAATACCTACTATGATTTCTGATGTCAAAAATAGGAACTCATTGCAGAAAATAGAAAAAAGCAGAAAGAAGTCAACAGAAACCACCCCAAATCCAACAATGGAGACACAACCACTGTTACATTTGGAATGTTTCCCTCTGATCTCTTTTCTACACCTGTGAACACACAGCTCTTTACCTACAGACTCCAGCTTACCCTATGAGTGAGAACCCTGAACAGAGTCCTCCTTCCTCTGCTTCTCTTTCACTTAATACCTCTGAGCCCTATGAGTGTCTTAACCTAGTGCCTATGCTATCCGGTATTTTTCCAAACTCATTCATTTATTAATCTGTTTTGTGATTACAGATTCCCAGACCATTACAGATTCTTGGAGTATATGGTTTCAAGGTTGTATGATTCTCCATCTTATAGAAGAGACATCACTTGGGATGCCTTCCATGGCAAGAGTGGACTCCCCAGGACAGCAGCCTTTGTGAGGAAATCTCTCCCAGGCAGGGGCTCACTCACCTCCTCATTTTCAATCTTGAGAGTGGCCAGTCTGGACTGCAGCTGGTGGTACCGCATGAGCAGCTCCGTCTGCACAGGCTGCTGTGCGCTGACCTGGCACACCTGCAGAAAGGACAGTCATCACCGAGCTGGTGCACTACCCTCCTCACCTGCATGGAGCTAGGGCAAGGGCTACATGGACATCCAGATCCACAGCCTATGAAACAGGCTCAGCAAGGTCAAGCAACCTCCCCAAGGTCACCTAGCTCATGTAGCAATGGCAACTCCAGATGGGAAAAGTCTACTCTCCTGCCATTGCCAGGATTGTGGCCCTCAGCTACAATCTTCTACATTTGTGMAATGTTTGTGGGTTTCCAAAGAGCTTTAACATAATCTTGTTAAGTGAAACTAATTCATTAATTTCAAAGCAGGAAGTTGTGGCTAGAAAAAAGCCACCTTGTAAGAGAAGCCAATGGAAAGAAGGATGAATCAGTAGGTAGAGTGCTCGAAATGCCCACAGGAAATGACAACTGTGGCCAGAGCACTCCAGGGCTCTTCTTCCCCAGCCAGTGGAGTGGGGTAGAGGGGCAGAACTGACAGAGATGCAGCTGGTCTCCTCCGTATCCACAGGGTTGACTTCCACAGATTCAACCAACCAAGAACAGAAAACATACATGGGGAAAAATGGCCTCTTTAATGACATTTCTTTCTTATCACTGTTCCCTAAACAATGTGGCGTAACAACTATTGACATAACACTTACATTGTACTGGGTGTTATAAGTCATCCAGAGATGACTTGAGTAGACAGGAGAATGCATAGGTTCTGTGCATATACTAGGGCATTTTATACCATTTTATACAGGGACATGAGCATCCTCACATTTTGGTTTCCACAGGGGGTCCTAGAACCAGTCCCCTATGAATATTGAAGGACAACTCCACCATTCTCCCTGTACCTTCCCATCTGGGGCTCTATTACTATCTGTGGGCTGGGCTACCTAGTTTGCTTTAGTATCTCACCCCTTCTAGGATGCAGCTAAGATCATAAGGGATTGTTGACAAAGTCTGTTGACAAAGTTAGTTATTTATTAGTAACTATGCAACCTGAACTTCACAGTGCTAACAATGAGACCAGGATTTTCAGGTCAAGGTGTGGGGCCAGACATGAGGGCAGACAGGTGCATCAGGAACAGCAACAGCACACAGAGGGCCTCTACTTTGCAAATAAAGGGAGTGGGTGGAGCCTTCTACAGGGCACAGTAAATGCCATTTTCCATCTGCCTCCTTGTCCCTCCCTAAGTGCTCTCGGATGGCCCAGCTGAGCTCCCACCTGAATTCAGAGACTGGCTGATTCTCATACCACATTGGTCTGGGTCTCCATCCCAGTTCCAATTCCCAAAGGAGGGAATGACACAGAAAAACTCAGGGAGCTATTTGCATCAGGGATTTGTGTAACCTGAGTCCTAGTAATGTTGCAAGGGACAGTGACAAGTTCCTTTCCTCTCCTTCTTTTTTTCTTTTCTTCATTTCAGACTATAACAAGAATCTGAAGGCCAGGTGCAGTGGCATACGCCTATAATCCCAGCAGCTCAGGAGGCTGAGGCAGGAGGATGGAGAGTTCAAAGCAAGCCTCAGCAACTTAGCAAGACCCTGTCTCTAAATAAAATACAAAAAAGGGCTGGGGATGAGACTCAGTGGGTAAATACCCCTTAATTGAAGCCACAAAACCAATTTAAAAAAAAGAATCTGAATAGCATAAGCACTGAAGAGAACTCAGCTGTCTAGTGTACCAGGGTTCACAAGATCAGGAGGGCAGCACCCTGGCCAAGGCAGCTATAGGAGGCTGTGATGAGGTCAGCAGTTCATGATCCAAGGGCACTGGAGGGAAGAACAAGAAGACCATTTCTATACACACCAGGAATCCCATGGGATCTTCTAGATATACCTGGGAGGAATTCTGAGGTAAGTCCTGTAATTCTGCAGGTAGGGACTTGAGCCAGCTAGATGAAGGTTATCAGTGATAAATTCCTCTTTTAAAAAAGCTCATGAACCAAGAACTTGACCCCAGGCTCTGAGATACACATTGTGCATACGCAACCAGGGCTTTTCTCCTCCTACCAAGGTTCCAGAAGGATGGGAGAGAATAGAAGCAGCCTATAGTTTCAGTGAGTCCCCCCAAAATTCATGTGTTGGGAACTTGACCCTCAAAATCATTTKTTATGGTATTTCTTAGTGGGGCCTTTGAGAGGTAACTAGGGTTAGATGAGGTCATGAAGGTGGGGACCAGTATGGCATTAGTGGTTTTTTAAAAAGAGGAGGAGATGGACATGGGCTAGTGTGTTTGCTCTGTCTCACCACATGGTGTCCTGGGCCATGTTATTATGCAGCAAGAAGGGACTCACCAGATGCTGAGCAGGTGCCATTGGCCACATTCTTGGACTTCCCAGCCTCCAGAACCAGGAGCTAAATAAATCTTTGTTCTTTCTAAATTTCATGGTTTCATGTATTTTGCAACAGAAAACGAACCTGACACAGCCTCAAGCCTGGCCTCCTGGGGAAACCTACCTCATCCCCCATGTGGGGCTGGAACTCAAACTTGAGCGGAGGGCAGAAGACCTGGTTGCACATGTCCATGACGGTGTGCTTGTCGCTCCGGGAGTCCAGGCTGTCCACGGCATTCTCGATCACATCCAGCCCCTCGTGGCGTGAGGTCTCCAAGTTGTACTCAGCTGAGAGGTAGGTCCGGAAGGTGCGGGCCAGGCTGGCATGAAAGCCCAAATCACAGCACTTGGGAAGAGGCAAGGACAGAAGGTGCAGATGACAACTGGGACGGTGACTTACAATCACCTCCCATTCCACAGCACTTTGCACACAAACCACTCCAAAGCTCGCAGAGGATGTTGGGGGTTGATATTTGCACCATAGCAGCGCTTTTCTCAGCTCCCCAAATTCACCGCATTCCTTCTCATCTCTAGGTTTTCATGCATGTGTCTCCTCTGCCTGAAATACTCTTCCCTCCAGATTCAGCTTCCTCCAGAAAGCCTTCCTGATGTCCTCCACACTTAGGAGTTTGTGTCAGTGTCCCCACTGCAGGGGCCCAGGTTTCCCTGCATCTCTTACTGTGACCCCTGCAACTACTTATTAACGTGTCCTGTGTAGGAAGACCCGCTGGCTTTGGCCTACTGCAGTACCTCACATCCTAGACCACAGGAGGTGCTGAATAAATATTTGGTAAATGAATGAATGAAAAAGGCGAAAGATGGGGCTGAGGTTGTGGCCCAGTGGTAATGTGCTTGCCCAGCATGTGTGAGGCACTGGGTTTGATTCTCAGCACCGCATAAAAATAAATAAAGTTCCATCAACAACTAAAAAAAAAAAAAAAAAAAAAGGCGAAAGAGCCAAAAGGAAAGTTGAAAGGCAGAAAAGAGGGAAGGTCTGGTCTTAAGCCATTTAGAAAGCTGAGTGTCCCCCTTCCCTTAGGATGGTAATAATGGGTCCTCTCTGCAGCCAAAGGAAAAGCAAAGACCCACTGACTTCCTCACAGGACACCAAGGCCACAGGAAAAGGATTCTGTGATCAGTACTGAGCCTTTACTGGGCATCTCCAGAGCCCACCTGTACAGGAAGGTGGAGAGGAAAGGAACAGTCTGGGCTCCAACACAGATGCCCCAGAAGCCCTCCTGATGCTGCTGCTCACAGTGTCCTTCCTCAAGCCTGTGGTCCTCCAACTGGCATTGCAGATCTGTGTGCCCTCTGCATCTGCTTAGGCTGCCTGATGTCTCCCACAATAACATCCCCAGGAGCTAATCTACGCCACTGTCTGATTCACTATCTCCTTCCACGTGTGCCTGGTTGATTGGACTTAGGGGCACGGAATATATTAACATCTTCTTTACTACACTGAGATTCCCAAGGGCACCAACTGTGAATGTCTACCCCCCAACCCCACACCCAGCAAAGGATCTGGGCATAGCAGCATGCCTGGGAAGCGGGGGTTGAATGCACTCATGACTGCCCAAGCCATGCTTGGAGGGTCATCAGAGGCTCGCCTCATCCATGAAGTAGAAATCCTGGGGTGTCACACACAGCCCAGGCCACACCCAGTGTCCTCCCCCTCCAAGCAGCACTCAAAGACCTGGCCACCCTGCACATCAGCCTCAGCTAAGGACCAAGTCCCTCCTTCAGCTGATGAGATGCACCAGCCTTGGTGTGGCCCCATCAGTTCCATGCTCCCCAGGATGCTCACATCAATCAGATCAGAGACATCATGGATGTAGTATTTGCTTATAGCTGCATTGGTGGCTGCCAGGTTCAGCAGGTAGTCGTTCCGGGCCTTTGTGCATTTCAGCTTGTTCTCAGAATACTTTGCCTGCCTCTGGAAGAAGAAAAGAGTAGATGTCAGGGCCAAGCCCACATCTATAGGCTACCTCCATGCCAGGGAGTAAGGTTCAGACCCTGCATCGAGATCACTTCACATGGCACAAGCAGCCAGTAACACTATGTGACACCTAGCTGCCTTTGGGTGGTATTAGGGTGGGTTATAAATAAGACCCCTACTCAGCACCCTCCAGTGGCTTCCCAAGCTGCTTGTGACTGCTTCCGGGGAGCTGCTTCTGTTCTGGGCCGCCTCGCAGGGAAGAGCAAGGAGTAAGTAGGGTGGAAAGATATACTTGCCCCTTTCAGACTGATGAGTCCCAGGGTAGGGTAAAACAACAAGTCTCCTGAAAGAAACAGGATTTTCCTCTCTCACCTAGACATTCTCAAACCTTCCTTATTCTGATTCGATTTGTAGCTTTTTAGTAGAGAAGCCCCATTGGCAGTCTTTTTTTTTTTTTGGTAGTGGGGATTGAACCCAGGGACACTCTACCACAGAGCCATTCCAAGCCCTTTTATTTCTATTTTGAGACAGGGTCTGTAAGTTGCTAAGGGCCTCACTAAATTGCCAAGACTGACCTTGAATTTACAATTCTCCCGCCTAAGCCTCCAAAGCCACTGGGATTACAGTGTGCACTACCACGCCCAGCCAGGCTTTTGATTTTTTTTCCAGAGACCTTCCCTGACTCTTCTCTGAGGTCCTCTTAGTCTGAGAACACCCAGCACACTCCTCCTGACATTTATATCCTGTGTTGGCCATGTTCCTGACCCTCAGGGAAAGCTTTGATATTCCTGACCCATTTCCTGTGGCCCACTATGAATCTGAGACCATTTTTAGCCCTTTGTGGACTCATGAACTTTTATACTTGGAGATGATCATAAAGGCACCTAGTTGAACTCTTTTATTTTATAGGTGAGGAAATGAGAATGGGAGAAGCCACTTGTCCAAGAGCCAACTGACTACTCAGCATACGTTCTGAACTAGAAAAGAGTCTCCAAAACCCCAGTTAATCCTCTGTCTATACCTGTACATTTCCCTCTATGATATAGTCCTATAATTCATGACTGGTTATTTTAATTTATTTTTACTACATTCATGGAGCTGTACCACCATCACTACCACCTAAATTTTAGAACATTTTTTCCCCTAAAAAGAAACTGCACATATTAGCAGCCACTCCTCATTCTCCTCTTCCTCAGCCCCTGAAAACCAACAGTTGACTTTCTATCTCTCTGGACATTTCATACAAATTAAATTGTACAATATGTGGTTTTCATGATTGTTAGCATGTTTTCACTTAGCATGTTTTCTAGGTTCACCTATGTTGGGCATATGTCAGTGCTTACATCCCTTTTATGGCTGAATAACATTCCATTTTATGGACAGAGCACATTTTACTCATCCATTTATGAACATTTGAGTTGTTTCCAATTTGAGGCTATCATGAATAATGCATCTAGAACAGTCATGAATATATTTTTACATGGACATGTTTTTTGTTGTTGTTGTTTATTTTGGTACTAGGGATTGCACCTAAAAGCACTTTACCTCTGAGCCACATCCTCAGCTCTTTTTTATTATTTTTATTTTGAGACAGAGTCTCACTAAATTGTTGAGGCTGGCCTTGAACTTGCAATCCTCCTGCCTCAGCCTCCTGAGCCACTGGGATTATAGGTATATGCCACCATGCCCGGCTCATTGTTTTTATTTTGAGATAGGGTCTCACTAAGTTGCTGAGGCTGCCCATGAACTTACAATGCTACGCCATAGCCTCCTGAGTTGCTGGGATTACATGTGTGCATCATACACCCAGCTGCATAAAATTTTTTAAATTCTCTTGGGTAGACACCTAAGTGTGGAACAGTTGAATCACATGGTTATTTGGTCTCTGTTTTACATTTTTAGGAGCTTCAAGGTTGTTTTCCAAAGTGATATACCATGTTACATTCCCTCCAGCAACATGTAAAGATCCCAGTCTCCACATCCTCACCAATACTTCTCATTGCCTGCTTTTTCATTTTATCCATTCAAGTGGCTATGAAGCAGTATTCCATTATGATTTTGATTTGCATTTCCTTAATCATTACTGATGCTGAACATCTGTTTATGTACTTATTGACCACCTATATATAGCTTATCCAAGTCCAGTTGTGTTTTGTTCCCCCTCAATTGCCTACAATTTTTAGAGTTAAGGGACTCTATACTCATAGAATTAGACTCAGAAGCCCAGATAAACGTCTGGTGCAATGTGTGGCAGATAGAGCTCTGTGTAGCATAGAATGAAAGAATGTGGCGAATTCAGCAAGAATATCATAATCTTTCCAGAAGAAAGGAACCTTAGAAGTCACTTAGTTTAGAATGAGAAGAACAGCGTGTATACTGCCTTCGAACTTCTCTGGCTATGTTTGATGTCACCGAATGATCACAGCACCACTTCTAACAAAGCTTGGAGAGGGCTTTGCAACCCTCCACACAGTGCTCTGGGCAGCCATGAGCAATGGATGAGAGCTGACATGAGAGACAAAGCTTTGGGCCATCCCTGTCAGGTCTGAACACTGAGGTTCAGAGGTGCTATAAATGTGGCGTTTGCAAAACTCAGCTAAAGACTATTTCAGAGCTGATGTATGGTGATCCTAAAACTCTGGGCTTTGGCTTGGCAATGGCAATTTCACAAAAGGCCCTTCACCAGGGTCCCAGGTGCTGCCTAGTAGCCAGTGSTGCTCTTTCTTGTTGGGACACACTGAGACCCACTCAACTCTGCTATCTGGTCCTAGCCAACAGCTGGCCTCTGGACCAAGCATGCCTTCCACTAATGCCTGCTGATTCCCATCCTGGGTATGTGCTTGCTGAACATGAATCCCGTCACCCCAGTTCATCTCTCTAGTCAGCTCAGCATCTCTGCTGCCTSTTGACTATGGCATCATCTGGGATTTAAAAGAGCTGGCAGAGGCCTGGCCAGCCTGCCTCCTCCACAACACTGACCTCCAAGAGAGCAGGTGTTACAGCACCCTTCTGCTTTCACACCCCAGGGTGCAGAGGAACAAGGCAGAGCCAAGGCTGTCAGCTCTTAGCTGAGCACACAGCCCTACCTGTCATGTCCTGACCCCCGTCTCTCCCAGCCTGAGGCCCCACTCACCTTCTCCTTCATCTTCTCAATCTTCTTCACAGAGCTGCGACGCTGGGGCCGGTCCTCGTGCCGAAGGAGGTTCATGCTGAGATCTCCTGACTTGTTAAACTGCTTCTCCTCCTGCTTCTCAGCTTCCTTTAGCTTGCTTTCTGCACTAATGCTCTCCGCATGGTACATGTGGTAGGTTTTCATGACCTGGGGATGCACAAATTGGAAACACCTGCAGTCTGTCACGGCCCAACATGGTCCCCCCTCCTGCTCCCAGCCCCACCTCAAGTTCTGCACCACATCTGTGCCCACTTCTTCCCGTGACACACCGAGTGTTTGCCATTCTTTACTTTTGCACAAACTTTCTAAGGACTGGAAATGATTCTGATTGTCATCAATAGCAGCTGCTTTGTGACCATCACTATTACTGTTATCACCATTGTCAACATCATCACACTCCTACTGGGTCAGACCAGGCTCGGAAAGAGAAAACTGCAAAAGGTAACCACAGCCCCCAAGCCTTTCGGGTTCTCAGAAGTGATAGGGCAAGCCTGACCTTTCCTCAGTCATCCTTTCCAGCCCCACCAGCTGTGACCTCTGCATCATCACCAGCACCATCATCACCACCATCCCTGATTTGAGCTGATGGTTTAAGAACATTGAACTTTCAATTGACTTCAGAAAAATGTTACAGACTCTGGAGAACCTTAGATAATGTGGAAAAAATTATTCTCTACTATGTTTCTCTCTCCTTCCTTAATCCTGAATGTCTTACCACCCCCAGCCCCCCAAAAACAATAAATGCCWAAAAAAATACAGCCAACTTTTCTTCAAGAACTTGATGGAATGCGTTGTTGTATGCATTCTACTCATTTTGGTTTGCTTGCACTTGTAATAAAGGTCCTAAAACCCCCTTCTGCTGATTTCCACGTTGAACCACCAGTTGTTTCAGGGGCTTATTTTCAAACAATTGGGTGGGCCAGAAGTTTGTAGTATCAATGTGCTCTCGACCTCTAGTGGCCAAAAGGAAGGACTGCAGGCTCATAGGAAAGTTATCTGTACCATCTTTCAAGTAAAAAAAAAACACCCCTAAGAATTGGGAACACCTGTATAGCCTATTCCCCTTCCTGGATGCCCTCCTCTGCCCCTCCACAATCACAGACTCCCCTGATTTCTTCACTTCCTCATCACATTGCTGCTGCTGTTCATTTCTGGACCCACCCTTCCTGAGTTCAATGCTTCCTGCCTCATCCACTTTTTCTATTTCAGCTTCTGAGTCTGATTATCTCACCAACAATCTATCATCTGTGTTGAGTAGCTCTCAGAGAGACAGAGCATTTCTATTTGTATCTAGCTCTTCCTGCCCAATCATCCATGCTTGTACCCATCCAATCACTTAGAGGCATCCCAGCTGGATGCCTTCCCCTCCCATATTTCCCGTGCTTCATTTTCTCTTTCTCCCTTTGCCTTGTTTTCTTTTATTCTTCTTGATCCACAGAGTATTCATCCCACTTTCCAACAAGCCAAACTTCCCAGGATAGACTCCTAAATGCATTTCAGAAATTCCCTGCTTGATGAACACAGCCTGAGAACTCTGGGGCCAACCTCCCTGTGATCTCATGGATTCCTGATCCCACGGGAAACAGTGAACTCAGTTGCCCAGAGTGATGTGTCAGACAGCTGCCACTAGAGTCTACCTGGAGGCCTCTCTGAGATGAGCTTATTTATACCAGAATCCTCTAGCTATTTATTTTCTTTATTGAATTACAGATGTCCCTTGGTATTCATGGAGGATTGGTTCCAGGACCCCCCACAGATAGCAAAGTCTGCAAATACTCAGTCCCTTATATAAAACAGCAGAGTATTTGCATAAAATATAAGCATGTCCTTCCAAGTACTTTAAATCATCTCTAGATTACTTACCTCATGCAATGTAAATGCTATATAAATAGCTGTTGTACTGTATTGTTTAGGGGATAATGATAAGAAAAAGGTCTGTGCGTGATCAGCTTAGATGCAATTTTTTCCTGAAGATTTTTGATCTGTTGTTGGCTGAATCCATGGATACAGAACCCATGAATGTGAAGGGCTGACTATACCTGGAACAAGAGTTCAGTGTGGAAAGTCCTTAGCTCAATAGCCTAGAAGAGTCTGCTTGATATTGCCAATCCAGGATGTTTTAAGCCATATTTAAACTTATCTATTACTTCAAAGTTTAAAAACATCTTTCTATTATCTCCTTCTATTGGAGAAGCAATTCAAGCTGTTCTTACCACAATCCCTGGGGCAGCATGATAACAACAAGAGCAGTAGCTGTTTGTTGAGCACTTACTGCTAYATGTCAGTACTTGTTCTAAGCACTTCACAGATACTGCTCAATTTATTTACCACAAAACCTCTATGAAATAGGACCCTGGGATCCCTGCCTTACAGATGAGGAAACCATGGCTTCAAATAGCTCAGGTGAGCTTCTTGAGGTCACAAAGCCAACATGTTGCAAAGCCAAGGTGGCCGACCCCACAGCCAAGATCTGATAGGCACAGACCTGTTGTGCCTTTCTGGAACCTTTCCTCAACCAGGAAATAGAAATGGATGGGTCCTCTAGCTCACAGGGATTCAGAAGACCTGGTTTTGAGTCTCAACTGCATCCTTCTGTGCTGGGTGACGTGGACAGGCTTTTCCTTTCTGTGCCTTCCTGGTGAAGCTCAGACAGGGGTAGATAGAATAGAGCTCTGCAAACTACGAAAGTGACTGGCTGGTGGCAGCTGGGTGAAGAGCTTGGAAGAGCCAGAGGTGGATGTGGATGTTCAGCTAAGGCCAAGGCACTGAAACCAGAGGTTTGTGAAGAGGCACTTGTTCCCTTGTTGCTTAGGGAGGGCCTTTCCCAGCCCTGCAGGCTCTTCTGGGGAGGTTCCACTTGAACAGTTCTAGGGAAGGATGTCATAAGGACATGTAAGCAGAGACCACTATTCTTGGACTCAGTTCAGTTTTATGGATTCTCAGAATATAAGAGCCCAAAGGCTCTCCAGATATCTTGTTGCATTAATCCCTTACTGAAGGAAGCCAAGGGCTCAGAAATACCAAGTGTGTGCTCCAAAGTCACTCAGTCAGGCAGAGCTGAGACCAGCAGGCCACATCTTTTGACCCATAGGGATGGCCATTTCTGGTAACCACACTACCTTTGGCATCTTCCCAGATGTACAGTCCTTCAGAACTCTAATTTAAATGAAAAGAAAGAAAACAGAATCCAAAAGTTGACAGCATCAGTAAAGAGACATGTTGGGGGCAGGATAAGGGTCAGTTGATAGAGAACAGATTTTCAATGACTTAGTCATGTGTGCCTCTCCTGCCCCAGGGGCTCGGCTAGACCTAGCACAATAAGCTTTTCACCTCCAGCATCTGGGTATAGGAGAACCCCCAGGACAAGGCATGCGAAGACATCCCAAAGTTTCAGTCTGATCACCTACACTCTACATGGCCTATGTTCTCTGTAGAACTTTGTCTGCTTTAATTTACTCACTTGTAAGGTTTATACAATGTATTGACTGAATTCTATTCTAATTTTACCTCTTTTTTCTTCTTCTTCTTCTTCTTCTTTTTTTTTTTTTTTTTACAGTGCTGAGAGTCAAACCCAGAGCCCAGGGCATGCTAGTTGCAGGCAAGCACTGAATTCCTCCTTCAGCCCCTCTTGTCCCAACTAAAATACCAAGTCTGGAGGGCTGGGACCTCATGTTCATGATGATATTCCCTAAACTAAAGCAGAGATGAGTAGCCAATAAGTATTAATATATAACTGAATGAAGGAATGAATGCTTGGGTGGATGGATTAAATAAATCAATGGTGAGATGGATACAGATGTTGGATGGAAGAATAGATAGGTAGATGGGTGCATGCATGGATGGATGGATAGACAGGTGGGCGGATAAGTGACTACATGGTGAGTAATCAATGTATGGATGGGTGGATAGAAGGGAAAGGGGAATACAGGGAGGGAAGGTACAGTTCTACTGCCTTTGATCTAGTGAATATATTCAGGGGTAAAAGTCAACTATACTTTCAACCATTAAATATTTACCCAATAGTTGATTACGTACCAGGCACTATACTAGGTACTATACCAGAAAACACTGCAATATATAAGATATATGAAGTCTCTGCCCTCAGAGAATACAGAAAGTAGAGGGGACACAGATAATCATACAAGCAATTGTCACAAGGTGTGACAAGTGCTACAGTGCATGGAGTACAGCATATCATGGAAAGGCTGCCTGGAGGAAGTGACATCTAAACTGAACCTTGAAGGAAGAGCAGCTGTTACATTCAGGGACAGGACTTGGTATGGGTGCAGTGTCCCAGACTAAGGGAATAGGGTGGGCAGTAAGCCTGGGAAAGCAGGAGACATTCAGTCCGAGGAACAGCTTATAGATAGAAGAGAAGAAGGTGTTTGCGCACTACCCAATGGAGCCACTGCCTTTTCCTCCCACAGCTACCTGTCTCCGTGAACATCTGTGTTTTTTCTCTGTCCGGGATCATCCAGTCTTTCTTCTTCAAGAAGAGCTTCGTAATTTTCTTTGAGAACCCCGCCCCAATTCCCCTCTACTAGTCTCAGCCACATGGCTCATGAGAAACTGACATTACCCTTCAATCCTGGGGTGGGTGTGAGACCCAGTCCTGGCCAATTGGTGAACATTAGGCTCCTCTGGCCAGAATGTTGGGACTCATGAGCTCAGACAAGTCATGAGAGGTGCCCTGGCTGGGAGGAAGTGAGCTTACAGTGCTGGGACCACCTTTGTCATCAAATGGGAGAAGCCTGCCAGATCATGAAGCCCACAAAGAGGAAAACAAAACCCAAAGGAGTTAAAGGCTGGGGCCATGAAAGGAAGGAAGAGAGGGAGCAAGGGAGATATGGAAGGAACAAGGGAAGAAAAAAGGGAGGGAGGGAAGAAAAGAAAAGGACAAAGTGGGGAGGTGGGTTCTATTGCCTTGGAGCTATTGAGTATACTGATTGGAGGGGGAAGAAGAGCTGTGTGCCAGGACTGTTCCAAGTGTGTTCTCATTGCTACAATATGGAGGACAGTGGTTCTCTACCCTCATAGAGTGCACATGCCATTGGTGAGACACACAAGGAAATAACTGTGTGAGCCTCTGGAGGCGGCTATTGCTGCTGCTGCTCAGGTGATCCCATAGACTGCCATTTTTAAACAGC